TTCGTGTTGAAGTTTTCCTGGTTCTGTAATTTTCTATTTTTGTTTAATTTTATTTTTATTTCACGTTTCTGCCAGGACAACTTTTTGGAGAGAGAGAGAGAGAGAGAGAGAGAGAGAGAGAGAGAGAGAGAGAGAGAGAGTACAGTACAATACAGAAACCTAACCTAACCTAACCTGTAATGTTTAAAAATGAATAAAAAAATACTATTGTTAAGTGAGGAAACATTTAGGAATTGTTTAAAAAAAAATAGAAAAAACTAACGAATAGGAAACTTACCCGAAAACCCCCCACAAATTGGCAACTCCTCCAGAGAGAGTTGCAGCTGGCTATATAAAACTGAGGCGAGAAGGATTTTGGCTTCAGTAATAGAGGCTGTCTTTTCTGCCTCACAACCTCTTGGGTATGGTGCTGGGGGAGGGGGGGTATTATTCACGGATTCCCTAACCAAGAAAATGAGGTTTTTTGTCTAATTCGTCTAAGTTTTGTCTGAGTTTTGTCTTGTTAGTTTTTTTGTTGTTGAAGATAATAGAAAACAAATAATGTTTTTTTTTGTTCTTGTTATTATTAGTCATATTATTATATTGCTTTCTAAATTATTATTATTATTATTATTATTATTATCATTATTATTATTATTATTATTATTATTATTATTATTATTATTAGTAGTAGTAGTAGTAGTAGTGGTATCATTAATTCTTCATATTCAAGTAAAGATAGGCTAATTACAGAGAGAGAGAGAGAGAGAGAGAGAGAGAGAGAGAGAGAGTAAATACTTAGGAATTCAGTAGACCAAATAACCCTGCTTAATTATTAATAGTTTAAAGAGGATGTATTTTATCTCAACTTAGACCAGTTTATTCCCCAATTATGCCAATTCGCTTCTCGGATACACTAATTATCCCCGTAATTGGCACTGGTATATATCTTTGCTTTACCAATTATCCCTATTTAAACTAATTCCCAAATTACCTATTCATCTCGTGATTGTATAATCTTCCCAATTACGACAATCTCTCCCTATTTGTACCAATTTCTCCTCAATCACGTCAGAGTAAATACAAGTTATACTAGTCTTCCTTCCAATTACGCGAAATTAGACTCACAATTACACTGGTTTATTTCCAGGCCCCTCTGAGAAACTGTAACTGGATCCAATAACATCACTGTGTTGTAATTGGGTTGGTTTGTAATACCTAGATACTCATCGTCCTCTAATTGGGTCCTGGTATAATGCACTTGGGGTAAATTGGTGTTAATTGTGAAAGAAATTATTGTAATTGGGAGATAAAATGACGTAATTGGAACATATTATGGTGTAATTGTGAAAGATAATATTGTAATTGAAAGGCATAATAGTGTCAGTGTAATATAAACTCTTGAAATTGGGTCATGAATTATTACATATATAAGGACAAAATGTAATTGGTATATATAAAATAGTAAAATTGTAAAATAGGTATTATAATCGAGAAAAAATACCGTAATTGTAATATAAATGGACATAATTGGCAGGTAAATTGGTGTGAAAATGGGAAGATAAATGGGGATTTTTCTAACACTCGCAATAATATGTCTCAATTTCCTCTCCCCTGTGTCTGAACGTTTAAATTTGTTGCCTGTTTCTAATTGGCAATTTTGGTGGGGGTCAGGTGTGTGTGTGTGTGTGTGTGTGTGTGTGTGTGTGTGTGTGTGTCCTATTTCAAGTGTGTTTTTTTTATCATGTGTTGCGTCTCTCTTGTTTGTTTACTTCTGTTTGGCTGTTTTTGTTTATCAGTTTGTCATTGTTTGTTTTGGGATTACTGTTTGTTTGTCTCTGTTTGGCTTTCTGTTTGAATTAATATTTGTTTATCATTAGTGACAGTTCCCTCGTCTGTTTGGTTTATTTATATGACATTTTTGCAGGTGTGCGTCTGTCTGTCTGTCTGTATTTCTGTCTGTCTGTCTGTATTTCTGTCTGTACGTTTTCGCATGTTGAGTTCCTTTGTCCTTGAAAGCTAAACACTAATTGGCAACTGCACAGTCAGCTGGAGCGAACGTGACATGTCGAGACAAGTTGACTAAGCTTCCAATCCCCCCAGATTAAGCTTATTGTGGACATATTAACATTGATTCTCTAGTATTATGTTGTTATGGACTGAGAGAGAGAGAGAGAGAGAGAGAGAGAGAGAGAGAGAGAGAGAGAGAATGGTGATACAAAATAGCCGTAAACACGAACATATATGAGACAAACACTTTAACTCTCTTTACTGAAGGCAAACTCTTCATAAAACTCCACCACAACAGTTCCAATACTCTATCATAAACATCATAACTTTACCCAAACATCCTCTCCCCCTCCCCTCATCCCCTCTCCCCCTCCCCTCATCCCCTCTCCCCCTCCCCTCATCCCCTCTCCCCCTCCCCTCATTCCCTCCCTCCCCCTATCCTCTCATCCCATCATCCTCCATCATCCCTCCCCCTATCCCCCTCCTCCCCCAACCCTCACGTGTCCAATAGCTCTCCTAAACAGCAAAAAGACAATAAAACACGACAACTTTTTAAAACTATCGATATATTTACGGACTCAAAAAAACTTTGTACAAATATATAAAAAATCATTATTTAATTGTTGTTGTTGATGATGATGATGTATTTTTTTTTTGTAACATTGCTTAAGTCTACGGATACAGTATATAGCGTTATAGGTACATGAATACAGAAAATAGACTCTGATATACTGTACAATGATGAGGGCACTTTACACTGTACAGAGAACAACACACACACACACACACACACACACACAGTCATTCATACATACAGTCATTCATACATACATACACATAAATGCACACACATACATATGCATATACACAAATACATATATATACACATATACATATACACACATAGGCATATATACTTAAATATATACATACATACATATACAGTGTACACAGATACATACACATACATACACATCTCCTGGCTCCACCCTCACTACCAAATTGTTCATTGTTCAGGAAGCTGTATTATGTTGCGTGTATCAACTCGATGTACAGAACAGTATGGAACAATCTGGTATGCTGTACATTTTTGTTCACCATGACCCAACAGGTGTACAAAATAGTTAATCAGTACTCACAGGTACAAATGAATATCAGAATGGTACAAAATGGTGTGCAGTGAACCATGGACCAGTATGGCCCACCTGTTGCACTGTACATTATGGCCCACCTGTTGTACTGTACATTATGGTCCACCTGTTGCACTGTACATTATGGCCCACCTGCTGTACTGTACATTATGGCCCACCTGTTGTACTGTACATTATGGCCCACCTGTTGTACTGTACATTATGGTCCACCTGTTGTACTGTACATTATGGCCCACCTGCTGTACTGTACATTATGGCCCACCTGTTGTACTGTACATTATGGTCCACCTGTTGTACTGTACATTATGGCCCACCTGGCTGGGTACTGCAGCACAAGTGGCCCACCGTACTGTACATTATGGCCCACCTGTTGTACTGCAAGCATTATGGCCCACCTGCTGCAATGCACATTATGGCTCACCTGTTGTATTGCACATTATGGCCCACCTGTTGTACTGTACACTATGGCTCACCTGTTAATTGTACACTATGGCCCACCTTGTTGTACTGTACACTATGGCCCACCTGTTAAACAGTAAGCAGACACCAACAGGGAAGTGTACATTTACTCACTTTATTATGTTAGGAAAGTTGGAAACCTTGAGATGTGTGTGTGTGTGTGTGTGTGTGTGTGTGTGTGTGTGTGTGTTTGTGTTTGTGTGTGTGTGTGTGTGTGTGTGTTTTTATTTTTGACACAACAGTGATAACAACAATGAAAATATGTTATTATTGTTAATATTATTATTATTATTGATAGTATTAGCATCAATTATTTGTTCGTTAATTATTACTATTATTATTTTACAAAGTCACCTCCACACTTACAGGTCTTTCTGTCCACATTAAAGGTTGCCAATAATAGAATAGATAGTAATAATAGCCCTAACCTACTATATACACATCACGTACAGTACCAGTTAGTTCATTCAATATACTGTTTCTTTTCACTCTTTTTTCCAACAAGTTTAAAGTTTTTGTTGATATAATAATTTTTTGGTATATATTTCACGTATTCTTGTGGATTTGTGACTGTATACATCTAAAGTACAGTTATAGTACAGTTATAGTACAGTTATGGTACAGTTATGGTACAGTTATGATACAGTA